AACGCTAACCCGAACCCGAACCCTAACCGAACCCGAACCCTAACCGGAACCTTAAACCCTAAACCCTAACATTAGTACTAGGGCGCTTGAGTCACGTGTCTAACAGCATGTGACATCAAGTCAGGTGCGTCTCCACTCTTCCATCTTTGATAAGATAAGGATAAGGGCGGACTATCTTATCTAAGCGCCACACGCGCTTAGAGATGCGATAAGATTAAGTCCGATCGGTGATTAGTAAGTAAGTAATCATGATGACATAGTCCGATCGGACTTAGTCATTATCGGAACAAAGCTCCGGCCGCGTTCGGCATCGTAAGCATAATTGACTTTATCTCCTGTGCCGTCGGATAGACAGACGACAAAGAGATAAGCACTTCCCGAAAGGGATGCACTAAGCAGAGTCCTGATGAGCTATAAAAGGCGAAACGGGACGGGACGTTGTAGCACACAACGCCCCCGTTGACTCAGCTCGCCTAACCCACCCTCAACCCTAACCGGTCGATCTCACCTCGCTTCGCTCGGTTTCGATCTCCCTCCCTAACCCTAACCCCTAAATAGGCGGGGTTTTCACTGGGTTTGAGCCCCTATTGTCAATTATGGAACACTTTGCCGTTGGTATAAAGTATCGCACTCACCTCCACGCCCATCCTACAGGCTAGTCGCTCCGTCTCCCCCGTCTTCGTCATGGCCATCCTTCGCCCGCGACCCCTCTATATTGAAACAATCAATCTTCAAAATGTCGTGGTGGACGAGTCCTCCCAGCAAGCCCTTCATGACTCCCCCATCTCACAGTGGGATCCCGAGAGGGAGCTGGTCCTTGAGCAACAGGGACCTATCACCAGAAAACTGGCACCAAGCCCCTTGGTGCCAGGTTTTCGGTGGGACAAGGTCTGTAGCACCACAACCAGGCCCTTTCTCCCGGAACAAGCTGGTGTCCCAGGTGCCCCACAACCTACCCCACAAGCTCCCTTTGGTTTGAATACCATTGTTTCAGTTTTTATAGAGCTGTGGACCTTGTTCCAATCTTCTAGATTTCAAAAGTTCAAGAATCTGGCATCCTTTGACAGCTAATTGCTCAAACAAGATGCCATACTAGACAGCCCTCTAACCTTCTGAATTTATACCCACAGCATGTCTGCTGACCTCCACGGTGCATTTGTACTTCAGGTCAGTTGCTCTCCCTCGCCCCATCATTTGTGTGGGTGAAGGAGCCTTCATTTGCATTCCGCACCGCCGCAAAAAGCGCTGGCACGAATGAACACGGGGTGTCACCGTTTGCGTACTTCAGGACTCTGGTGAACTGCGGGAACACGGGATATCACCTGTTGTGATATAGTGCTCATATCAATGGGAGTGAGAGTGCCATCATCCACGCATACGGAGATCGTCATCTGCGTGAACGACGGGGGATCGTCCTCTTAGCACAGACTCCTACACATGCATATCCCAGTCTTAGTCCCACGTGCGCAACCGCACTGCGTTTTACCACCACGACCCTAACCCTCGAAGCTGCAAGTGACACATTGTCGGTCAGAAGACTTCAGACGATAGTAGGAGACATGCATCCAATAGCGTTGTTCTAAGAAACTCGTACTGTACAGCCAAGTCCGCCATCTCCCTCAGCAAAGATTTTCTCCGACTCCGGGGTGTCGTATACGCACGCGCGAACTTACTTGCTCGCTTCAAGGAAACGGCGCTCGGCCTCTTTGAAGTTGATGACGTTCCAGATCGCAGTCAAGTACTATGCATTACGAAATCGAGCGCGTCAGCTTGCACGCTATCTGAAGCACGACCAAAGGTTACTCACATCGGCCTTGACGTTTTGGTACTGGAGGTAGAAGGCGTGCTCCCAAATGTCGATGCCGATGATGGGGACGTGGGAGAGGAGAGGGTCCTGGTTGGGGGTGGTCACGATCTCGAGCTTCTTGGTCTCAGGGTTGTAGCCGAGCCAGCCCCAGCCGGAACCCTGAACGGCGGCGGTGACGGTGTTCAACTTTTTCTTGAACGCTGTGGCAAGCAGTCAGGTTGTTGTTACCTATACACCACACCATTGGCAGGGTGGAGGGACGAGGAAGGACAATTATGGCATGTCGCTATCAAGGGGCCTTATGGTATTTGCTCTGTAGCAGCGTAGCAATATCAAGAACTTTGGTGCGGCCGGTCCACGGACTGCCTACACCAGGAGCGATGATTAATAGGCGAACGATACGCACTTGCGAGCCGTCTCACAGAAAGGAAGGAGAAGGGAAGGATAACGAGCGGATATAGAGCACTCACCATCGACGCTCCCGAAGTCAGCTTCGATCTTCTCCTTGAGGGGCCCGGCAGAGAGCTCGCCACCGCCATGGCCCGCAGGGGCGAGGTTCTTCCAGAAGAGAGAGTGGTTGATATGGCCGCCGCCGTTGAATTTAAGGGCGGACTGGAGCTTGATGCGCTCCTTGGGGGAGTCGGTCTTGGCATAGGCCTCCTCGGCGGCGTTCAGACCGTTGACGTAGGTCTGATGGTGCTTCTTGTGGTGGAGTTCCATGATCTGACCCGAGATGTGCGGCTCGAGAGCCTGTGCGTGGGAGACCAATTAGGACGACCGGAGCGTACTGGTGATGATAGGAAGACGGGCACGCACATTATACGGATAGTCAAGCTGGGGAAGGGTGTGCACACCGCGGGCGACGAGAGAGAGCGACGCGGCTGGGACGCGGGCGACAGGGCGGGGTGCGCGGACAGCAGAGCGGGCGATGGTGGTGAGGATGGACATGGTGGACACTGGTCAAGGCGGCGAGACCGGGAGACGAGTACTTTGTAGTCCATGACGCAACAGTTGTCGGATTTAGTCGGCTCCTCCTTCCTGTGAATTATACTCATACCTCGGATATCGCTACGAGTATCAATCAACAACTCATCGCGGACAAGAAGCAAACATTAATGGGCTACTGTCCTCATCAATATTAGCTGTTCCGAAAGCTCGAAGATGCGTCACGTGCAGGGACCGCAGAGGTGCGGTTGTCTCTGCTTGCGTCCTCCTTCCCACCGAGTCTCTCGTCCCGCTCTATTCTCCCTTCTGGCTTCCGCGTTCTCTCCTGCATTCTCTGCTCACATTTATCCTACTTCAAAATGCCACCCATGTCCTTCATCGGCCAGGTGACAAAGGTCGGGTACATGAGCAAGACCGCAACTGTCACCGTTTCCCGTTACATCACCCATGCAAAGACTGGCAAGGTATGTCGCTCGTCTGCTCGCCATCTGGCATGAATAAGCAGTCTGAGCCGTCGCCCATCCCCCTTGCCTCATTCCAGCGGCTAGAACGGAGCAAGAAGTATCTCACCCATGACGAGACGAACCGTGCGTTCCCTCACTTCTCTTTTGCACGTCCTCCACCCAACCGCATCTATATGCTCGTAGAGCTCCGGCCGAACGACACCGTTCTCATCCGCAACTGCCCACCAATCTCTGCCCGGAAGCGATTCACGCTCGAGAAGGTGATCAAGTCGCCCGAACGCGCACGCGAGGAGCTTCACGCTCGCCAGGCCGCTGAGGCCGCGGCGCGGTTACAGACAGAACAAAATGCTACTGCGACAGCATGACCTATACAGCATGTCACTTTAGGTGCTGGATCCGTGAACGGCCGAATCCCGCAATCCGATAAACGACCACGGAAAGGGAGAACACGAGATAGGGTCGGAGCAGGAAGGGGGAGGATGAGAGATGGGAACGGCGTCATACGACTGAAATGGGCTGTTGGTGTTGTTGAAGGGCGGCCTGGATCTCGACGAGCTGGGGAAGGAGGGGCGTTTGGTCGGGGGAAAGGGAAAGGGACAACGGGACGTACCTCCAATTTCTTCGTCTCCGATTTCTCGCCCAGGTCTTTCAGCTGTCCCTCCACCCGTTTGCTGTGTAGCCGCGTTTGCATGAAGCATTACTGCGAATAGTTGTAGACGGAGAGAATATGACGAACATCTCACCACGGATGAAGTCTAAACGTGTGTCGACGTTCTGCTTCGCTTCCGTTTGGTCCTGCTTGATGAGCACAGGTCCGATAAGCTTGTAGACGGTGTTGTCCGCAGTCAGAGACGCAAATTCCTACGACAGCGTCGGGGTTAGTGACGCCAGAAGGTAACAACGAAGGGCGCACCTTCTTGACGAGCTCGTTCTCGGAGAACTGAGCCTCGAGCTTCTGACGGGCATCGACCACGAGCGAAAGGTCGTTTTGTATTTTCTGAAAGTCGGCCGAGGTGGTCTGGAGACGTTCCTGCAGAACTAGTGCCATTGGGTTCACCTCTCGTTTGGCGACCTGCTCGCGCTCGAATGCCGCAGGTAGACCAAACATGCACACACAGTTCCCCGGCGCGGTGCAGCCGCGTCGCTTGCAAGTGCAGGCTGCGGCTCTACACATACGCCAGTGCTCACCTGCCCCAACGTCAACGTCTTTCCGATACCCTCCCATCCTCGCCTTGACTCGTAGAACGACAAGACAAGATGGACAATTCCCCCACTGCCCTCTTTGACTCATACGAGTCTGACTTCAAGCAAATCATCCACAGCATCCGCGACAAGCTCGAGGGTGACGCGAAGGATGCTGGCCAGGGCGAGCAGCGCAAGGCAGCGCTTCGCAGGGTCGAGATGGAGCTTGACGAAGCCGACGAGATGGTACGTGCCTCATACTGGCTCTGTGCTATTGTTTGCCGCACGCAGCGAGGAGTGCTACGTCCAAGACTGCCATGAAGAAGTAACGAGACATCTGCAGTCTTTGGTGTCGATGCATCATGTTTCGACGCCTGCAAGCCTGACTACCAGTGAACTTTTCCCCGGTAGACGGCATGCCTTACGGACGTCGCGCCACCTTAATTGCTCGACGGGGCTATCTCGCTTCTTGCCCTACATTCTCAAGCCATCCGCCCCACGTACCAGACTTGGCAGTCATGGTTATCATACGAATGTACTCACGCGGTCCTCGTTCAGGTCTCCCAAATGGAAATAGAAATCCAAGGCATCCCCCAATCCCTCCGGCCCTCGTACCAATCCCGCGTCAAGGCCTCCAAAGCAGACCTCACCCGTTACAAGAAGCTCTCCAAGGACATTTACGCTCAGCTCTCCCGCGCCGAACTCCTCGCCCGTCCCGGGACACGCGGCACGCCTACTTCGGACGAGCCTTACGGCGCGACGAGCGACCGCACACGGCTGCTTGCAGGCACGGAGCTGCTTGAGGACGGGAGCAGGCGGCTGTTGGACAGTCAGAGGATCGCTCTTGAGACGGAGGAGCAGGGCGCGGACATCCTCAGAAGTTTGCGTGGGCAGAGGGAGCAAATTCAAAACGCCCGCGATACGGTGCGTATCACATCGTCCTCGTCGGTCCTACCATGAGTTGGTCTGACCGACCCGTCGCGCCGCTGTATCGCGTTTGCAGCTCCAGCGGGCGGATACCTCTATCGACCGCGCCTCGGGAACGCTCAAGAAGATGATCCGACGGTACGTACTTCGCTTCCCGGGTGGCCCCGCTGCCGCCTCGCATAGATGGGTTCGACGCTGACGCCACGCATGGATGTTTCGTTTGTGCGCTGCCTGTCGTGCGCATGCCTGTAGAATGTACCAGCAGCGTGTCGTCACCGCCGCCATCATTGTGATTCTCGTCCTCCTTATACTCGTCATACTGTATTTCAAGCTTGTCCGCTGAACGCTCGATATAGCCTAGTGCGTCTCAGGTTCAGAGTGTCTGTGGAGGTGTTCTAATGGGCGAGATGTTGGATTGCTTGGAGGGCGATGGACTCGTACATTATGTGTATCTCTAGCTTGATTTTTGCATCTTATCTACCGGAGTGACGGTGGGCAAGTCACAAGACAGTGCAGTTCATCGAGATAGTGCGTGATCCATGAAACATGGCTACATCCGAAGCCAAAGGCAGACGATTGGAGGCCATATGGTGCGCTGATTGTTCAGGCGCCGACTTCACATATGCAGTGATAGAAATGTGAAAGATCTCGAGGAGACGCGTTCTATGGGCAGGGAAAGACGGTGGAATGTGTGCCCTGAAGTGAATAGCTAAGGCTCCTCTTACCATCATGAAAGCTGGTGAGGAGAGACGCGAGAGGATCGCAGCAGAAGCAACACTTCTTGCGAACACCGATGGGGATTGTATAGACCTGTCGATCTTGAGTACGTACCAAAGTTGACGACTGGCGATAGTATCAAACTCGAAGATTGGCTTGAGATAGGACAGCTGCTGCGGAAGCTCAGCTTCCACTGGTCGGGCTTTGTGGACGGAGCATGCCAGCGCCATACCGATGGCCTCCGCATGCAGAGAGCCATTGTAACGGAACTGCAGAGACGACAAGGCTCTGTCAATCTCCTTTTCCAGATCCGAAAACAGAAGTTGAAGGAATCCACGCTTGGAATCTCGCTGTCTAATGATCGGGGTGGAGGACGTAGCGTAGACCATCAAGGCCTCCAGGTTGGACGAGAACGGCGAGAGCTTATGAGAGTGGACCAAGGATCTAGCATTAGATCGCGAGAGTATACAGACATCGAGATATGGGTTGCTTGTTGTTCTCCACGGCCGTCAGCTCTTCTTCTATAGGTAAATGCTGTTTCTCGTCGGACAATCTAACAGTACTTGACGCACCGTGGCTGTCATCGAGGTCGGCTGCATCTGGGCCGTCTACTGCAGCTGTGTCGATTCCTTTCGGAACAACGCCTTAGCGAACAGTGCCAGGCGACGCAAGGAGGCCTGTGTGACGTCACTAGGGTGCGCTCAAGGTCCTTGGCCGTGGGCACTTGACTGTCCAGCATCGGCCGTCGTAATTTCACAACAGTTCGCACATATTTCCGCTGCACATCCCGCGCAAGGTCGTCCGTGAGTCGAGAAGGCCATTCTGAAAGACAGCGTCGAGGATCACCGGCGATTGTGGCCCTGCATCAGTGAGAGACTCGAGCCCGGTGCCATTCACCTGCGCAAGAAACGTGATTGATGTGCATGTTGTCCTGGCAGACCACAAGCGCCCACTGTTGGAGATACGAGCGGCGAGTTTGAGGCAGCAACGTCTCGCGATGAAGATGGGACGTTTCAGCCGGGGATGCGGCAGACGATTAGACAAAAGTGGTCGAGGGCAGTGATAAGATCGCGGTCTGGGACGCCTGTGATCTTACTTGGTCAGAAGTGAGGTATGCATCTCATGACGACGCACCCGAGGTTCTGAACAGTTTGCTTGAGCATGGTCGTTCCGTCTTGATATATTTGGGGTGTCAGCGAGGTGCTCTGGAGTGGCGGCGTGTTCTGCGGGAGACGGTGAGGAGATGTGTTGACTGATCGCGCTTGGGTTGTAAGCGCGAGGTGTGAGATAACCACGTGGGGCAATCAGTGCAGACAGTAGTGCAGAAACACATCCCAGTCCTCGACCTCAGCCTTTGTCCAGCTCGTTCAGCTCGTCCAGCTCGTCCAGCATCGGCCACCTTCAGCCGCGATGGCCGACGTCGCAGTCCCGCCCGACGTCGTCGCAGAGGTCACCCAGATCCTCTCCAACCTCGTCCTCGGCGACAACCAAATTCGTTCCAGGTCCGTTCTCCCCCCCGCATCGATCCCCGCTGCTCACCCTGCTCCCCTCCAGTGCAGAGCAGGTCGTCGAAGAACGCCTCGCAAGCACCCCCGAGCTCTATCTCCTCGCCATCGCCCAATTCGCCACCTCCGCAGATACAGAACTCGTGAGTCCTCCCCCGCATCCTACCCGCACCCGCGTCCCGACCGTCCTCCCCCAAGATGCGCTCCTTCTCCCTCGTCCTCCTCCGCCGCCTTCTCTTCCGCCCGTCCACCACCCACCGCGTCCCTCTCTACGACCACCTCGGCCCCCAGGCCATCGAGACCCTCCACCGCATCCTTCTCCACTCCCTCCTCCACGAGCCCGCGCCCGTCGTCCGTCGCAAGACAGTCGACACCGTCACCGACCTCTCCAACAACGCGTCCAAGCGCGGCTACCCGTGGAACGCCCTCCGCTCCCAGGTGTTCGCCATGGCCGACAGCCCCGACGTCCTCACCCGCGAGGCCGCCTTCCGCGTCTTCGCCGGCTGCCCCAACCTCCTCGTCGATCTCCCCACCGACGCCACCGTAGCCCTCCTCCAGCGCGGGCTCCAGGACGCCCAGAGCACAGAGGTACGTGTCCCGTCCGCTTCCATCTGTCCGTTTCCTCTTCGCGTACCGGTGCTTGATGCTCCTCTCTGGTACGCCCGCGATCGCCTCGCCGCGCCATTCCCCTAGCGCTCCATCATTCGCGACTGCGCATCGACGTCCACACATGACGTGCCTGCTGGTTCTCGCGGGATCATACGTGCTTTTTCACCCTTGCGTGCACATGTAGCGTCCGCTGCAGATGCTCACCGTACACCCCATTTGCGCTAGAGCAAAGGTCCGCTCCCTTTCGCGACGCACACTGACAGATAGCGCACATCGCAGGTCCGGCTCGCAGCCCTCCGCGCGTCCGCCGCCTTCCTCACCTCATCCGACCTCGCCCAACAAGCACAGGCGCTCGCCCTCATGTACCCCATGCTCAACACCCTCCCCTCCGTCCCGCGCGCACAGCAGCCGCCGTTCCTCTCCGTCCTGACCGACCTCGCTGCGTCCAACCCACACCTCTTTCGACCACATATCCCCGCCCTGCTCACCTTCCTGCCGTCGCTATTGCTGCCCGTGGTCGATGCGGGCCCGACTCCGACCGTGGCGCGGCCGAATCCGGGTACGTTCGCGTTCCCTCCTGTGACGAGCGCTGGGAAGGGAGAGAACGGAGAGGAGAGGGAAAACGGGGAGGACGACGAGGTGCGGAAGGGCGCACTGGAGTTCATGACGACGCTCAGCGAGGCCAAGCCGAGCATGCTCAAGGGCGTGGAGGCGTGGGTGAACATCGTCGTGCGGGGGTGCCTGGAGGGCATGGGCGAGATCCCTGAGGACGACACCGAGGCGTGGCTGGACGCGGACGTAAGTGACCATTGCTTCGTTGGCGACCCTGGTGTTTACGGGGCAGCAGCCAGCGGAAGACCCGACAGAAGACTCGTACCCGCACACGTACGAGCACTCGCTGGACCGCGTCGCGTGCGCGCTGGGCGGGGCGGCGGTGCTCCCTCAGGCATTCTCGTTCATCCCGGCCATGCTCGCGTCGCACGACTGGCGGCTCCGACATGCGGGGCTCATGGCCATCGCGTCGATCGCGGAGGGGACGAGCAAAGTGATGCAAAACGAGCTCGGAAAGGTCATCGAGTGCGTGTGGTTCACCGATGTAGTCGTCGGTCGCTGACGAGTGCGAGTGCGCAGCCTGGTCGTCCCGATGTTTGGCGACGCGCACCCGCGCGTGCGCTACGCCGCTTGCCAGTGCATGTGAGTCCCCGTCATCGTATCGCATGCCGTCTTCGGACTCATCGGTGTCGACGACAGCGGACAGCTGTGCACAGATCTCGAGGTACGCATCGCATTCTCCGCGATTGGGTAACCTTGTCTTGTGACGATACACTGACAGCCGTCGACTGTCAACAGGAGGTCGTCCAGGAAAAGTTCCACCAGCAAATCTTCGCGGCCCTCATCCCTGCGCTCGAGGCACCCGAGGCTCGGTACGTCTAGCCTCTGCCTTTTAGCTCCATATCACGGCCGGGCTGCGTCATCATCGATCTGACCGGATCGGATTGTGCAGAGTGCACGCGCACGCAGCGGCTGCGCTCATCAACTTCTGCGAAGGGGTAGAGCGAGAAACCCTAATCCCGTACCTCGACTCCATCGTGGAGCGCCTGCTGAAGCTGCTCAACCCCGCGGCGACGGACGCGGCGAGGCAGCCGAAACGGTATGTCCAGGAGCAGGTCATCACGACGCTCGCAATGGTCGCGGACGCGAGCGAGGCGACGTTCGCCAAGGTGCGTGTGTTCCGTAGACTCTAATGCAGAAGACGGCCGACGTGCTGAATCGTTTTCGCTTTCCGCTGGCAGCATTACGCGACGATCATGCCTCTGCTGCTGAACGTCATGCAGAATGCGAACGGCGCCGAGTACAGGAAGCTGCGGGTCAAGGCAATGGAGTGCGCGGGCCTCATCGGTTCGTCGCAGGTTGTCTGGCTTGCTCTTTGTCTGCTCACGTTCGTGTCTAGCCATCGCAGTCGGCCGCGATATCTTCCGCCCTGACTCACGGACGTTCGTCGAGCTCCTCATGCGCATCCAGAGTAAGCCCGCAGCATGACACGTTATCAACCGATCCGTGCTCATATCCTTCGGCGTCCAGACAGCCCAGTGGACCCGAACGACACCATGCTGAGTCATTTCCTCATCGCGACGTGGGCGAAGGTTTGTCAAGCTCTCGGGGAGGAGTTCGAGCCTTACCTACCCGTCGTCATGCCCCCACTTCTCCGCGTTGCGAGCTCGAAGGCGGACATCTCGATATATGGTGCGTATCCATCGTGAAGAAACACTCCACGCATCTTGTTGATTGAGGCACAGACGACGACGAAGAGCGCGAGGAACGGGACGGCTGGGAGAGCATCTCGATGGACGGTCGCCAGGTCGGCGTCAAGACGTCTGCACTGGAAGACAAGTGCCAGGCGTTCGAGACCCTGCTCATCCACGCGTCCACGCTCAACGCGCGGTTTGGGCCGTATGTCTCGCAGACCCTGGAGCTCGCGTTGCCTGGATTGCGCTTCTACATACACGACGGCGTCCAAGAGGCGTGCGCCATGTGCGTGTCTCTACGTGTCCTCTTTCAGGCGGCCTGCTGATCTGGGGAGACAGGTTGATACCGGTGTTGTTCTCGTGCGGCAAAAACAGCGGGACGCTGACGCAGCAGATGGTCGCCGCGACTTTCTCGCAGCTGATCAACTGCATCGGCCACGAGACCGACTCGTCGTTTCTCGCGTCCCTCTTCAAGTGCGTCCTCGACACGATGCTCGTCATCGGCGGCCCCGCCGCGCTCGCTCCGGAATTCCACAGCGGGCTGCTCGAGGCGACGAAGCGCCAGCTGCAGTCGCTCGCGGACAGGCGGAAGGCGCGCGCGGGGCGGCCCTCGCACGAGTTGCGCGAGGACAAGGAGGATTTGATGCTCATCGAGGAGATGGAGGACTTCGCGCTCGAGGACATGGCGAAGGTCCTGCGGACGTTGGACGCGGACCATCCGCTGCTCATCGCCGTATCGAGCGTGCGGGAGCTCGGGCTGCACCTGTCGGAGTGGGAGAGCGAGGATGAGGGCGGCGTCGCGGGCTAGGAGATAGCGCGTTGATATTTGGCACTTGATACTGTGGTATATTACGCTTTGTGTCTTGCTTTCGACGTTCGCAGCGCACTGTGTCTGTTCGGATCTCGGTCGGTCGGTAGAAGGTCGTTGGTTCGTTTTTGTAACCTTATCTGTAGCAGATGGTGTCTGATTAATAAGGCGCGTTCGTCCTTTCTACACAATTCGGTCCGTAGGGCATTGATCAGGCGGGCAATCTCGATGCAGGTGAAGGGTCGACGTTGATTGCATGCAAGATGGACCAGGCGTTCAGGGTACGGTCGCAAGCCTCCATAGCGGTGGACAGCGTCGCGTATGTTCGACGTACCAAGTACTCCATGATTGACTACCATCTTTTCCTACGCTCGTCGACACAACGGGACCGGCCACATCCATCTCTACTTAACAGTGACCCGTCGTGTACTAATGAATCACATACATACATCTTGACGTGGACGCACAACATGCGAAACGAAACGGGGGGAATCGATTTACTGTACACCTGTATCTAAAGCTTGAATTCGTCCGGGATGACATCCTGTAATCGACGACCCAAGACAGTTCCATCGCATGCCGCGGACCACAACATTATCCCATCGGGAGTGAATGCAACATGCCAGACCCTATCACCGTCGCCAAGCATGATCCATCGCTCGTCCTCCACACCTTCACCGTCTTGTCCGTGGATGCAGAGGCGATATACTGCCCACATGGGGAGAAGCACACCTTGACCACCGCTCTAGTGTGCTCGTCAAGCGACTGGACCATGGCGCCTGTGTGCGTATTCCACACCTCCAACGAATTGTCGTTCCACGAGGCTGAGAGCAGCAGCCGACCATCCGGGGAAAATGCCATATCATAGATCGAACCCTCGTACGACTTCAAGAGCAGACACTCCTGTTTAGTCGCCATATCCCAAATGCAGATCATCCCACTGCTATATCCAACAGCGAGGTGTGTGCTCGAGGACTGAAAGCGGCGCTGCGAGCATGAATGTCCTCGCTACCCGGCGACATCTCGAGCGCAAGGTATGCATCCGATACAAGTTCCCGAATATCACAGCTGTACCCCTTGGGGACAAGAAGCCAATGGCTGTCGGGGGAGAATAGGGGCCGGGAGCCTGTCATGTCGGGAATCAGAGGCAGCGGCTGGAACGTTCGTCCATCCCGGAGTCGTACACTGCGGTCCCTGGCTTGGGATGCAATGTAAGCACCGTTGCTAGACCACGCGCAGGATCGGATGACACTCAGGTGACCTTCGAGGGAGGCGACTTGGCGTGAGTTGCCGCTGATGTCCCAGATCGTCACCTTCCCATCTTCACTTGCAGACGCGAGATGTCGGCTGTCTGGTGAGAATGCGAGATCCGACACTACTCCGCCAGGGGAAAACCATTCTTGCGAGATGTATGCATCTCGGGCATCCCAAAGGATGATGGTGGAAGCGCCGGACGCCGTCGCTACCCAGCGTCCATCTGAGGAGACAACAAGGGTGGTGACGGACGAGTCATGCCCGGGGTTCCCGGCTACGCAAGTCAACGTCCCACTCAGGATCATGGTCAATGAACGAGACTCACGTCTTCCGTCGGCGCCCATTTGTCGCTTAGTGGACGAAACAACGTGCTAAACTCGTCCGACCAGGAGATCGTCTTCTGCGCATTCAGGACTGGGCCACCGGGAACCGTCAATAGTGCACGATGGGTGGGATACGTGATCAGGGCCTTCTCCAAGGTTGCAAAGAGCTCCAAGTTGGCAGGTCGACGACATTCGCTATATATACGTCCGAGGTTATAATCCCAGATGACCAGGGTGACATCTCCTATCGACGTCTGTTTCGACCTAGGCAAGGCATGGACGGCATGTTGGAGCTTCTGTTTCCAGTCTCGTATCCACCACGTTAATGAGGTCTGGTGCCCCTGGTCTGATTGAGTAGGCGGCATAGACGGCGATTCTGATTTGAATTATATGAGGTATATACGACTAGGAGACAGAATGAGACACAAACGAGTACGGTTCCCGATCGCAAGCGGACTAGTGATCTCCAGTAGAACTAATTGGAACAGCAGCTCTACGATACGCTCGTCCACATCTTGAAGTATCTGAAAGTGAACACAGAGAGGTATAGTCGGGGTACACAGATGATATAATAACGCTCACATTCAACGTTCGCAGCTTTAGCCGACGATGTAAATAACCTGGCTCCAGCGGAGTCAGTGGTCGTATTATCAAATCCTGGCAGGTGAGGTTTTCGAGGTTGGGGAAGTCGGAAATGAAATTAAGGAAAGCGGATTCCGTGTGGAACAAAGCGCTGCGTATCGTCAGGCTCTGAAGGCTAGTCACGGATTGCCTGCCATGGAGTAGAATGGATTCGGAGAGTGAGATATTCCAAAACGAGGGCGACATTCTATCGAATGTGATATGACGGAGACAGGGGAGGATAGACAGCAGTGGGAATGAAGAGAAATCCTCCCATGGAAACGACAAAGATCGTACAACAGGCTGAAGGTGCGGCTGAGCTCGGACAGCATCGTGGAACTTGATGAGCTGATTTGTGCTTCGGAGGTCTACTTTTGTGTAGAGAACGAAGAGGCTACAAGGATGGAGCTGGCTACAGGTGAGAGCAAAAGCGCACAGCGTGGTGTTGTCATCAGAGCAGAGATCGATGGCTTTCTCGATGACCTCCCATGGGAGGGCCGGGGACTGCGGGATGGACTCTGTACCCGAAGGCAAGGGGTTTAGGGTGTTCGCGAGGTCGGCCATAAAAGATATGGACATTCGAAGGGCACTTAAGCTTGCTGATAGGTAACGCGGTGAGCGACACTCAGGCGCTGTGCCGAGAGGACAGCATGTAATCAGATCCTGCAGGCGTCAAAAGGGACAAATGTCAGAGCGTCTATTACAGTCACAGTATCTAACCACTGGGTGCGTACTCTAGGACAATGAATCTGATCTCGTCTGTTGTCCACATAACCATGCTTTACCCCTACCTTCTCAGATATCCCACGACGACGCATAGTATGCGCCCCTTCTTATCGACTCTACCCCGCCTAGTTCGGAACAGTATCAACCATCATTTTGGTTCCACGCCCACAAGCGGTGCGCGAACCGATGTCGTCTTATACGAAGACTACGATACGGGATAATCCTAACAATGGAATGGGCGATGCTATTATACGTAAGATTTCGGAATGAACTAAAGTAGGGAGAATATGCTACCGGTAGCTACGCCTGATGGCATTGCTCTTTGAACTGACCCAGCATCGCGACGTCGTGTGCCTTGTCCATGATCCCATCTCGCTGGATACTGCTCGTCGCCCAGTCCGGAAGACCCTCGTCCAGAGAAGCAGGATATCTACCGCGACCGTGCGTCCCGACCCAGTCAAAGTCGACAAGCATGCCCCGAGGTCCGTCGTCAAGGCCAGATCCACCAGGGACGACCATTGTGTTCGGGGTACGGAGGTCACCGAAGACGAGGTCGTGCGAGTGGAGCAGCGCGATGGCACGCTTGATATCCTGGTAGATGCGGTACGGAAGGAGCTCCTGCCGATTCGCGGCTTCCCATGCCATCTCGCCGTGAACACGTTCCATTACGACCATGAACAGGTCGCCACATACCGGGACACAGACGTGCAGCGCTGGCGCGAGGTGCTCGGCTGCAAGTATCCTGTGCGCTTCCGGGTGATATCGCTCGGTGAGCTTCACCACTACTTCGACGCTGTCGGTATGTGTGTCGCGAGGTGATGAGGGCGCCGTCGTTTCTTCATCAATATTTGAAGACCTCCAGGGCATGGTGGCGAGGTAGATACCCGAACGTCGTCACCTTCGGAAGCGGCCAACAAAACAGCCTCGCCTGATCGTGTCAGCCGGTGCGTGAAAGTGAGCGACGGAACAAAACCCGTGTAGGAAGGGATCTTCAAGGGCGAAGGGAACAAATGAGCGATGCTGGCTTGAGGAGGTGCCCCAGGGACGGCCTTGAGTTGTGCGTAGAACGCCGTGAGGTCAGCGATAGCCTTCCGAGTGGCTGTGAGTGCTCGGGAAAGACGGAGGACGTTCTTCGCAGAATGGAATCCCAAGTGCAGCCGCTCAGAAAACAACAAATCACAATACATTCCGTCAGTGTATATTGCAACGCTGATCTCGAGCAGGTTGCCCATGAATCCACAAAGGATGGCAGGATAATTCGATTGTCTCCGCAAGGCCTACACATCACGCCAATACAGACGGATGACTATGACAAGTACGCCAGGCGCACCTTGAACTGGGGTGCAGTTACGATATGTGCGTACGACAACCCTGCTTGCAGGGAGGCGTCACCTTCTAGACCGGCCTCATTCTTGACCTCCACCACGACGAAAGGGGGATCGTCCGCATTGATAGCATGCGGTACAATGCCATAGGTCCCCTGGGGGGGTTTCCAATGCAACGCTTTTGAGAATATCTTGCCGAGCAAAGTCTTCATGGCCCCCACCCGATCATCCTCCGATGAACAGCTGCGGGCGGCGGTTGTCATGAGTTGGTGCACCATTCGCATGAGAATCGGAGGAGGAGCGGGCTCAGAGATATCATCGTCCAGGTGGCGCAAACGATAGTCAACGAGGCCCAAAGCGTGATTGAAGAGGCAGGCAGGGGGGCCATAATTTCCTGCGGGTCGCCCAGCATGAAACTTGTCGGCATTGTCAACGACAACCTTCCGCATGCCTGCGGAAGTCGAGGCACCATTTGAAGGTCGGGGGACGGTCGTCCGAATCAATTCAACACGTTGTTCACGCCACGAGAGCCTGTTTGAACACGAAGAGCAGAGATAGAAACACAGAAGTGTGACGTACCTCTGAGCACCTGATCCTGGATAGTTCCCAGTTGATCTAAACTCTGTAAGACTAGAGCAAGCGTGAGGAGTACGGCGATGACGTATATGCAGGGACTAACCGTCTTCCGTGACGACAAGAAATGGACCATGTCGGGAGATGGCCCATCGGGGAAGAATTTGCTAACCTGCCTGAAGCGTGTGGCAACTTTGTCCTCATCATGACAGTGCAGCCGAAGGCATTCTCGACTGCGGGAAAAGAGTGTGGCGTCCGGCTCGGTAGGCAAATCGGAAAGCTATTGGGATTCAGACCAACTGCCTGTAGTGGACGAAAATGATGATGGCCGTACGACATAGAGCGTGCATTGTGCTGTGCCAATGTGGCTAGCGATACTCGGTTCCTGTGACTTGGCCCGATCCCACAAATGCTGCAAGCGGGATGTGCTGGGAGCGTTTACGACGATGTCGTTGTTGCGGATATCCGGGTGAGGATAGAAGAATATGTAGTCGTCGTCAGACATGGTCGTGGTTCGACATCAAGTAGGTTTTGGCGCTCGCTCCGTACACATCTGCCTGCCCATACCCGGTTGCCCTTCACCCTTGTACTCGCTCGTCATGCCACCGCCCCATCGCCTCCTGTCTGCTTGTCTGATCCTCGACTCGCTTAAAAGACACTCCCTCGTCGTTGTCGGGTGGCCAGCGGGTAGTGGAGCAAAAGTCTCCTGACCATCAGGGCTGTTTCCTCGCTCGAGGAGAACCCGAGGACTGTCTCATGGGGGATGCACTCGCCCTAGAGGTACGCCATATTCTTGAAGAATACCATCCGTGGCCGGAGGACCCTTTGAACGCGTTCTATCCACCCCGGCACATGGTGGTTCAGTATTACGACGATGTTACGGTGCGAGATATGTACCTCGAACGCACCTTGTCAATACCGGTCAAGTTCCTCTTGAACCCTAGGTTCGACCTGCTGGGCTACTTCGCTCGGCACGTCCGACGGCTTTTTGCGGCTCCAGCCTTCGAGCTTGATGACCTGGAGGGCGAATTTCGAGTCCTGTTCACGCGTAAACCGAGCCCTCGCATCAGTCCACCCATCCCGCTTTTTGCCGTACGACCAAAGACTCGCCACGCTGAATCCGATAACAGCTTGAGTGCGCTACAGCGCAACGCGGCCGCTCCCCGGGATTTCTCTCGACTCATCCCAGAACCAGTCGTCGTAGTTGTCCAGGTGAATGAGCAGCCCGCTCGGGCCCTAGTCGACTCAGGATCCCTGTCAGACTTCATGTCTGCAAGGTTAGCACATCAGTTAGGTCTGGAGGTTTTTGAGCTCACCAAACCTTTGCCTGTGCAGCTGGCCGTCCAAGGGTCCCGCGCAAAGATTAACTTTGGCTGCCGAGTTCGACTGGAATACCAGCGCATCAGGACTGAGAGGTATTTTGATGTCATAAACTTACTGAATTACGACCTCATTCTCGGAACTCCATTCATCTTCCAGCACAAGGTCACGTTGGGACTCAACCCCACCACCCTAGTGGTCGGCAGTCCGCAGGCTCTGCCAATCGAGGGCCGCCAGGTGCGGACGCTACAGTCGCACGCGGCGGACGTGCTGGACGACGTGCTCGAGGCGGCACGAAAGGAGTTGCGTGAGTACGCGGCTCCCATTTGCAAGGAAGCTAGTGACTCACCACTACCTCCTTTGCGGACCATCAACCATCGTATCCCCCTCATAGACCCGGATAAGGTCTATACCTGGCGGCCGTCTAAGTGTCCGGACGCTCACAGAGAGAATTGGCGGGAGAAGCGAGATGCTTACCTCAAATCGGGGTGATGGAAGTACACTAGTGCCCGTAACACGTCCCCAATGGTACTCCTTACCAAGCCTGGTACGGGAGTGAAAGGAATCCCTCCGAAACTGCAAGTAGTGTGCGATCTCCGCGAACGTAATGCCAACACAAAAAAACTGACATCACCGCTTCCGGACATGGAAGGTATTCTGCGACGCGTATCCAGGCATCAGTATAGGAGCCTGATAGACGGTAAAGACGCGTACGAACAGATTCGGGTGGAACCCGAACATGTGGAACGTACAGCGATGACTACACCTGATGGAAACATGGTCAGCCTTGTTTTGCAGCAGGGAGACTGCAACGCTGTCGCAACGTACCAGAGCTTGATGAACTACATCTTCGGCCCATACATTGGGGTGTTTCTTGACGTCTATCTAGATGACATTGTGATCTACTCGGATACCCTATCAGACCACGTCAAACACGTCAAAATCGTCGTAGACATATTGAAGCGTGAGCAACTGTTTCTGAGTGCTACTAAATTGAAATTTCTGTGCAATGAAATGAAGATCCTAGGGCGCATCGTGGACGACCGAGGCATTAGGATGGATCCTGACAAGGTGGACAGTGTGCTTAACTGGAAGGTACCTACCTCGAAGGAGCTCTTACGCGGATTTCTAGGGTCCGTAGGGTATTTGGCAGACGATATTGCCACGGTGAGAATTCCTATGGGAGTATTAGCCTCTATGACTGGCGCGAATGCTTCGTTCAAATGGGACTTCACTCACCAGCGAGCTTTCGATGAGATTAAGCGGCTGGTTCACGCGCACCGAGAACACCGCCGCAAGCCGTTGGACTACTCAGCGGGGGCTCCACCCATTTGGCTGGTAACAGACGGCTCGCATGGCGGAATTGCAGGTGTGGTATGCCAAGGAGAGGACTTTCGGAACGCGCGGGTAGCCGCGTTCTTCTCTGCTAAGCTGTCATCAGCTCAACAGAACTATCCCGTGCACGAGATTGAGATGCTCGCCGGGGTTGAATCAATGCTGCGACACAGAGATATTTTGCTTGGGTGTCGATTTACCTGGGTAACAGATCACAAGGGGCTAGTACACTTGCTGAACCAACGGAACCTGTCCGGACGGCAAGCCCGATGGCTAGAGAAAATCTCTGAATACGATTTCAAGATCGAGTACGTACCAGGCGTTGACAACGTATTAGCAGACGCCCTATCTAGAATATACTCTAATGACCAACCTGGCACGGTGCGAGCGCCGTCAGAATACACCCAACATGATGACGCCGCAAACGCACCTCGGGCGCTCTCCGCCAACGCTGTCTCCGTACCCCTCCTTGTTGACCTTGAGGGACGGGCTGCTACTGAGCTAACCAAAACTGCTCCTCGACGTTCGGAGAGGCTGCAAGCCGCCGCCGGAGGACTCAAGCACGCTGTTACAAGCAGCGTTGGGTCGAGGCTGGAGGGCGCGTCGCGTGCAAGCCGAGCGCCTCGACGGCCACGTGATCGCGTTCAGGCTTCGAGCTCGTCGACCGACGCGGTGTCGACAGTCAGAAAGACGGTCTGGGAGACAAGCAAGACGGTGAATGCGAGACGAAACAGCATCGCACGGTCGGAACATTCTGCTGGCAACCAGCAGAAGACGCCTGCGCTGCCGAAAAGGCAACGCTCACGCCAACAACGGCGGGAGACGCTGTCAACGCCAGCGCCTGAGACCGGGCGTCCCGAAACCTCCAAAGAATTTGCCGCTCGCATCAAGCGTGTCGTTCTCCACCCACCTCGCGCAGAACGACAGGAGGGCGCGGGTGCCCAGCTAACTTCTCCCAGCACACCCAGCACCGAAACGGCCACCAAAACCGCTGAACAGGCGGACGGCACTCCACCATCTTCGACACTGCAGGACAGCAGTACTTCGGCTCAGCCCGCCGAGCATGTAGAACGTTCGGGAGCTCAGCTCCTGGACCACATCGCCGGTTCTCAAGACGGCATTCACCTGGAGGGCGCGTTACACAACAGATACGCTGAAGACGCGTTTTTTGCGCCAATTATTCAGAACCCGCATCAGTACAAGAATTTTCACGTTTCTAACGGTCTGGTCTTCCTTAGGGAACGGGGACGCGAGCTTCTGTGCATCCCTCGTGTCATAGTCAACGGACGTAGCGCTAGGGAAATTGTAATCTCTCATGCTCACTCGCTGTTGGCGCATCTAGGACCTAGGAAGACGGCCGATCTCCTCCGCGACCACGTCTGGTGGAAGACTTTGCTTCCCGACGTACAATCCTACTGCGACTCGTGCAAGACGTGTAAACGCAGCAAGCCGGCCAATCAGAAGCCGTACGGCCTGCTTAACCCCTTGCCTGTGCCTACCTCGCCTTGGGAGGCTATTGGGATGGATTTCGTAGGGCCATTGCCCGAGTCCAAGGACCGGGATAGCACGTACGACTCCGTCACTACTGTAATAGACCTTCTAACGGGAATGGTTCACTTGATACCCTCTAAGACCACTTACCGCGCTCGGGACGTCGCTGAACTGGTTTTCTCAGAAGTATACAAGCTACACGGGCTGCCTAAGGCTATTATTAGTGACCGAGATGTTTTGTTCACTAGCACCTTCTGGTCCCATTTGCACAAGCTTATCGGCGTAGAATTGCGGATGTCAAGTGCCTACCACCCGGAATCCGACGGCTCTACTGAGCGAGCGAACCGTACTGTGTCTCAGATGTTGAGACAATGCATCAGGCCGGACCAGAAGGATTGGGTGGCTAGACTGCCGGGGATCGAGTTTGCTATTAACATGGCCAGGTCCGACGTCACTGGGTTCGCTCCATTCTTCCTCAACACTGGCCGTATGCCCCGACCCATGATATGGGACCGCCCTGCCAAGGACGAGTACCCCGGAGTGCGGGTGTACGCTCAAAAAGTGAAGTCCGCTATCATGACGGCTCATGATAGCGTCATTGCGGCAAGGGTAAAGCACGTCCGGGACGCTAATCGACGCAGGCGGCCGGCCCCGTTCACTGAAGGAGATCTCGTATACCTTTCTACTAAGAACATCGCTCTACCTAAAGGATTGTCCCGAAAGCTTGCCCCAAAATTCATCGGGCCGTACCGTATTGTGCGAGATTACCGTAACTCCTCGTTCCGAGTAGAGTTGCCTCCCAGCCTGAAGCGGCGAGGTATCCATGACGTTTTTCACGCCTCTTTGCTCCGTATTCACGAGCCCAACGACGACCGGCTCTTCCCTGGCCGTTTGGACACTCAAGTATTCGAGATTGAGGACCCTGAAAATGAGTGGGCTGTTAGTAAAATCGTCGGACACGTCGGTAAAGGAATTGACGCGATTTTCGAGGCCGAATGGAAGTCAGGGGACAGGACTTGGATCCCTTATCGAACGGCTGAACCCTTAGGTGCGTTAAGAATGTACCTGGAGGCGTTAGGACTAGAGTCAGTCGATCAGCTCCCCGAGGGCTTGGGGACGCCACCACCCGACGACCCGCAGATCTTTTCGGGTCATGTCGACGTATTCCTACAGAGCCTTATCAGCCAGGTCTGCCAGGAGTATAATAGGTACGCCGACTCACCACTTTCCTTACCCCAGCCCCCTGTTCTCGATTATCCGCCGTCTACCCGTTCCTCCCGTCGACGCAGACACCGCCGCTCTAACCCACAAATCACCACCACTCGCCATGCACGTCCACTCGACCCTCTGCCCGGGCGGGGACCTACTCCTCACTTCCGCCCACCTTTCCGGGATCCACGTCTATCCCGCTCAACTCCTCCGCTTGTACCTCGAGCACGAGACTCACCTGCGGGAGCTGGTCAGCGGGGGCAAGAGTTTCGATTTCGCCGAGCACCCGATACCGGCCGGTATAGACACGTTCGTGGCGATCTGGAACGAGGACGCGCACAGCCTGTACGGGTTCTCGTCGGTCGATCCCAACTCAGGCGCTATAATACTCACCACGCGCCCTCCCCCTCCCGCCGAGCTCCTCTATCCCACGCTCCTACGCGAGGAGAAGTTAGAAGACCGGTTCAAGCTCTCCCGCGAGGAGCGACAGCTCTTGGAGAGGCTCAAGGCCGACGCCGCCATGCGCGAGTCCGGCCGCGTCGAGAAGTCTCGCCGTCAGTACGAAGGGCGCGAGGCTCGTCGCAAGAGCAAGGCCCGTCTCGGGGCCCACTCCTCGGCCATGCGCAAGGTCGCCTCGGCTCTGGCCACTACCCTCGACCTCCAAAACCAAGCGGGTCTCGACCTGGGTTTCGAGGCGGGGTCGCCCTCGAACGCGGGTTCCCCAGGGGGGGACATCGGCCTCTCTCAACTCCTCAACGTCCCGGACTTCGCGTCCGAAACCCCTCACGCGGGCGGGGAGGACACGGCCATGGAATTCAACCCCGACGAGACCAAGGACGATACGAACGCGTCCTGAACGTGGACGCCCCGCCTGCGCACCGGCGCGGTCGTCCAGGAGGGCGTATGTAGCGCCCGCGTCACGCGCTACTTCTCTTCTCTCCCTTCGTACCTGATCGACTCCGTGCTTCGGGATTGTCTCTCCTCGATCTCTCAGCTTCTCTTATCTCACTCGTATCTAGCCCGAGTCTTCCCGAACCTTAGAGCTGTTATAGCGCCCATGAACCGTATATAAACCCAGATCTGTATGTACAAACTCCAGCGTTCAATCGAGATACTCATACCCTGTCTATCCCTCGAGCGAACCTCTCTCCCTCTCGTGACGCGCCACCTACCCCTTCGGGCCAGCGAGCGCGTCAGCTGCTTTCAGGCCAGTTACACACTGCGCAATCCGGTCAGCGCGCTGTTTCTGTGGTTGGCCGGACGCAGAATGGACTGCAGGACGTAGAACAGAAGTGCTGCCTGTAGTAACGTACCACGTCGAAATCGGGGTCTCGTAGCAAAGACGTCTCTACTAACACATCTTCCATGTTCCAGTGAATGATAACATACAACTCCTTCGTAGTGCGATAGACGTGAGGTGAGAGCTTATCCCCCTTACCGATATCGGCGTCGTGGCAGCAATAGGGCCCGTTTAGCTGCAATAGGTACTCAGCATGTGCCGCATACAGGTCGCCAATGCGACGTTCCCCACTTCGGATCAGCGGCAGCTCGAGCCCGAAACCTGGGTCAACTCTCCGGACTGGGCTCAAGACGGGAACTTCCCCGTTCGCCTCATCATCGAAGTAACCGACAGGAACGTGGCCGTCAGCCTCGTCTTCCCACTCGGTGAGTACAGAACCCTCTGTGTCGGACCAGTCCGAATTTTCAGATTCTGAAGAGTTACTGACTGATTGTAAGTCAGGCATGTCGCCCCAAGCGGTCTCGACATAGTGCAAGTCAATGCCGGCCGACGTTTCAGTGGTGGCGGCCAACTCTCTGAGTTGTTCAGCCAGGGAGTGGCTTCCGATTTCAACGCTGTACGAGGTAAGTCCGGGTGGTTTCCCCTTCTTGTCCGACTTCACTAAATTGGCTTTCGGGCACGCATTAGCATAATGACCAGTTTCTTTGCATAGGAAGCATTTGCCCTGCTCTCGGAGTTCAGCTCGCTCTCGGCTCGAAAGCCGGGGCTCGTTTCGGTTGCGAGAGGATCGCTTAGCTCGCCCGGACGATTTCTCGCCCTTGCTCGGCCTGGCTTGGTGTGTTCTTCCGCCGTTATGTCCCTGAGAGCGGCGCTGATCATTCTGATGATTCTCGCGATCGTTACGATGCGGGTACGCCTTCTGCTGGCTTCTGGTGCGCGAGGAACTTCGATTGTCCCGCTTGCGCCCCCGAGGTTCATTCCCTGGGCGGGAATAACGTCCTCTGCCGACCTTTTCAGCGATCTCAATAATTTCGGCGGCCTCGCGAACCTCCGACCAGGTAGACGTAGTTGGGGTGAGTTCTTTCTTCCACAGTTCGCGTTGAATTGACTCATTCAATCCATGCCACAGCTTGTCGACTCGTTCACGTTCCGAGACGAACCCCACAAGCAAAAACAGGTTTTCTAGCTCGTGGACGTAGTCTCGTACACTACGGCCTCCCTGGTAAATGTTCCTCAGTTTCTCCCGCATCTGTAAGCGGTAATCAACAGGAAAACAGTAGTTGAACAGCTCTTTGAACAGGTCCTCAAGGGTCCATTCGGTAGGATTGTTAGACACTGTATTCACCCAAAAGGTGTAGGCTTTCCCGGTCAAAAAATTCGAAATGGTAGAGGCGTGCATTCGTGAGTCCACGGTGTACCCTCGAATGAACTCCACACACTGACACATAAACTTGTGGAAGGTCTGTGCATTGGCTTCGCCGTTGTACTTCTCCGGTCGCTCAGGTTTGAGCACCGGCTTCTTGGTGCGCTTTTTCCTGTTCTTACGGGACTTCCGTGAGGTTCGGTGAGAGCTCGTAGACTCACTCTCTTCGATAGAGCTCGTATCACCGCCTTCCGAGGGTTCAGAAGAGGATGAGGATGAGCTGCTAGAGCCGTCCGAGGGATCTCCGCCCGTGATGCCAGCGAAGGCCCGTTCTAGGTAGCTGCCAGGCTCCAGCTGGGCCACCGGCCGCAGAGACGATGCCCGGTGAGCAGGCCCGAGACTCTTTCTCCCAGCTACGGATTCCTGGGAGACAACAGCGCCCTTGGCCTTCCGGGCCTTCTGCGAATCCCGCTTCTTCTTACGAGCGGCCTTACGCTGCTCTGCTTCTTCCTTCAACCGGGCCAGCTCCTTGCGGATTTCCTGGAGCTGCTCTGTGAGGAGGCGGTTAGCCTCCTGGCTAGCTGAGCGACGAGGAGCGGCCATTATGGCTTCCTCGACCTCACTCGCCTCGGACGGGGTCGAAGCGCGGCTTGTAGTGTATGAGGAGCCCGACCGGGCAGATCCACCCGGAGTAGTAACAGCCGTGGGTTCACGCTCGGAGGGCCCGTGCCCTTGCTTGCGGGCCTCCCAGTACTCTAACATAGCACGCTGTTCGTCTGTGTTGTAACCGTCAAATATATTGTGCGGGGTACTACTATACAATTGTAGCTCGCGCCTTTGCGCGTCGGGGTCCAACTCCTCGTCTGGGATGCCCGAGGCACCCCAGTTCCGTGCGTCTACGGTCTTCCCCTTCTCCCGGGAGGGACCTTCGCCCACCGACTCGGGCGAGAGGGAGCGCGGACGAGTAGTCCCGACCGCGGTCATCCGGCGGGAGTAGCGATCCCGTTCAACGGGAGTCAGGTTCGCAGCGGCTGTATCCACGGCCGCCCGTTGAGGGGAAGTGAGTCCGGGGCCGTCCTGCGCAGTGAC